CTAACCTATGTCGAGTTAAGGAGCGGTGATATTTTCGAATCGTAAATCTTGAAGTTATTTTGATAATTGATCAACGCATGCATTTTATACTTTTCCAAGTAAAATAGTGTGTTGAGATAAAATATCTCAAACTGAATTGCAACAAAGCACTATGTGTTTAATATCTTTTGTATTGATTTGAATTACTTTATTTGAAGTACAAAAAATAAACAACAATATGTATTTCTTAATGAAACTTTTTCATATACAATATATGTTTTATTGGCATTGTATATGAGATGTTCTTGAATGAATTACAAATACGCAAATACGTAAATACGCATTGTATCTAGAATTACGTAGTTAAGTGTCTTTGCCCAAAGTAGGTTAAGTTGTCCACTTAAACTGATTTTATGCAATACTCAACAAATTTAGTATTGTGCGTAAAATTTCTTCTGACTTTGATTTTCATTGCTCAGTTTTTTCAGTAGCGATAAATTTATATTAAAAGATTTATTAGCGTTACTATATCATGAACTAGAAATCGAAAAGAAACTCTAAAATTCGAGGTCTTCATGAAATTAATGCAGTAATTGGATATCGTAGTATCAGATTTTTGTAATACATCAGATTATATAAGAGCAAGGAACTCATATAATGAGGAAGGCAAAAAAGAACTCTGCTTAAAATGGTTGAGGTTTTTGACCGATGGCGCTCTTCTTATCGTATAGCGGATATCCCAAAATAAGTACTGTTTTATTGAAGACTATAGGATTATCTATGAAATGACATACATTAAGACTGAAAAGTTTTCGGAAATTCTCATTTAAAATTCGCGCGCTGTATATTTTTCGATATTTTAAGTTTATGTAGTTTGGCAGCACTGTCCTTAATTACTATGCCAAAAATGAGCTCGATCTGTCAGACAGTTCGTTTACGGCAGCTGTTGAAACCAGTTCACCTCAGTAGTGCGTTGCGAAATGTCTTCGACGGTCGTACGACCGTCCTGGAAGGCTTTGTACCACTCATAAACTTGAGTTTTCGATAAAACTGATTCCCCATAAGCCTTTTGTAGCATTCGCAACGATTCTGCACACGAAATTTCGTTCGAAACACAAAATTTGATGCAAACTCTTTGTTCAATATTTTTTTCCATTGTTTTTTTCGCAACGCCCTACTGAGGTGAACTGGTTTCAACAGCTGCCGTAAACGAACTGTCTGACAGATCGCGCTCATTTTTGGCATAGTAATTAAGGACAGTGCTGCCAAACTACATAAACTTAAAATATCGGAAAATATACAGCGCGCGAATTTTAAATGAGAATTTCCGAAAGCTTTTCGGT